ACCCGAAATCTAAATCTACATGAAACGTATTGAGGGTTACGAATACAAAACGAGCAAGGTATGCCGACTGAAGAAGGCACTGTATGGATTGAAGCAGGTATCACTTGCCTGGTATCTGCACTGAAAGAAAATCATGATCTCCATTGGTTTCGTGACAAGCCAACACGACCCTTGTCTCTTCCTTCGCACATTTGATGGAAAACTTGAAGTGGTTTGCACGTATGTCGATGATTTTGTCGTGGCGTCCAAGACCGAATCGCGGGCGGGGGCGCAATTATTGACGAGCTCGAAAAGAAACTGGACCTCAAGCACAAGGGGAGCTAAAGTAAATCGTTGGATCAAAATTGAGTGGGACCTCAAAGAGAAGACTCTAAACTTATCACAAACAGCGTTTGCAGAACGCGTGCTGAAGCGATTCAAATTCCATGAGTCCCATGGTCAAGCGACACCAGAAGTGGAGGATACCGACGGCGCATGGGATGACCCAAACCAACCCAAGACTGACGAGTCAGAATTTCGTGCAATCGTTGGAAGCTTCATGTACCTTACCACTTGCACACGACCCGACATATCACAGTTAACCTTTTGTCCCGCCACATATATGACCCACGCATTCCACATCTTGTCGGGGCCAAGAGCACCCTCGCTACCTACGCGCAAACCAATGTGGGTATTACATACCGTGGAGAAGAAATGACACTTATCGGTTTTGGTCACGCAAGCTGGTCCACAAAACCCGACCGCAAGTCAACGACTGGCTTCGTTTGGCTCGTCTTCGGTGGTGCCGTCTCCTGGAAGTCAGCAAAACAACGCATCGTGGCGCTATCGACGTGTGAGTCGGAGTACGTCGCTGCAGCAGAAGCAACTAAGGACGGCATTTGGCTCCGTGGCCTCCTTGAAGACCTTGGCGAACCTCAAGGGACTACAACACTACATTGCGAAAACAAGGCAGCGATTGTGACGGTGCAAAATGACACAACAAGCGACCGATCCAAGCACATTGCTGTGCGACATCATTTCATCCGTGGCATCATTGCCAGTGGCACACTCAAATTGGTTCATGCTGGCACGGCAGACATGTTGGCCGATGTGCTTACTAAAGTATCAACTCGCCACGCAATCGGAAAGTCCAGAAGAAAACGTCATGACAAACGGACTGATCAATTCACAAGTCAATCAAAATCGGCGAAACAACAGCGATTTTCCCCTGGAAAAATTAAAGTTGGAACGGCAATTGAAAACAAGGTTCCCAGCAACTTTCTAAGTCTGCAACAAGAAAAGGCAACCGCCTCAAGACAGCGCGGTGCATCGCCACTGGGGAGTGTTGGAGGTGGATCTCCACCGACACTGCCATCTCGGCGGTTTCATATCTTTACATACGGTTCCATTTCTTTTGGAGAAGATCTCAATAGTGAAGGGACAAAACATAAAATTACATAATTCACTCTTGAATTTACGACGTCGTGCGCATCGGAGCTTCCTGGATTAAGACAGCGAGCGAGTGATGATTTCACATGAATGTCCTCCCAGGCTTGAATTGTGAGCTTAACCATTGCCATGCGCGCTTTCGGCTGCAGACACACTTGATTTTTTTTGTGTAGGCTTGGTTCGACGTTGATAGAACGGCGGGGTTTTGCGGGAATTTCGAACCAGCCAATGATACTGGAGGTACCAGTCAATGTAGATTTATATCCAGTAATGTGAACAAATAATTGCCATTAGTTCCTCGTATACGTTTTCAACCGAAGAGTATTTGAGGAAGACAAATATGTTGAACGTAATTGATCAAGAGTTTTTTGCGACCTCACGTTAGGTAAGCCCAGTGGGTGCCAAAACCACCGTAATGAGGTTCCAGCGTACACTGACGATATGGCATATCATGCATCGACGTCATGGATTGAACACTACAGTATACCACTCGGGTTTCGAGCAGGAGCTCTACCGCGTGAGCTATTTTTCTTATTGTATGTAAAGTTGCTTCTGTATTGTATCAACGTAGGGCGATTTGCATTAAATATAACTTCAATTTGCATGATAGCGAATTATTGGTATAACGAAGATGAAATGATTCATTGTTACATTGATTTGACAGATAATCGAACTACAATGAACCGGGGAAAACTTGCAAGCGTTGGAAAAGTTTCAATCACGACTTGTGTCGATGGACATCGAAACGGCCAAAGTACTGCTCCACGACGTCGAAAGTTGATGCACACCAAGCTGCAAAGGAGATCTTTGACACCGTTATCTGCAACCACGGTCTGCCGGCTGTCATAATCAGTGATCCAGACCCAAACTTCATTAGTCAGTTTTGGCTAGCTTTGATGAACATCATGAACGTAAAGCACTACATGACCACGGCCAGGCGAGCGCAAAGTGATGGAGCCACAGAACGGCAAAACCGAACATTAGAGGATGCTCTACGTTGCCAAGTGTCCTCTTTGGGTCACGACTGGACAGAGCATCTCGGAGCCATGTATATATTATATACATGCTCATCAAGGACTTGTACAAACATCGACGGGACCCACTTTGACGTTGATACTGGCAGAAAGCTTCGGTGTTGAATGACGTATTGGCGATGAACGAGTATGGAAAGAACTTTGCTGAGCGACGCAAGGAGTTGCAAAAGATGGCCCTGTACAACCTCGAAAAAGCTCAAGCCCGCCAAAAGGAATACTCTGATCTTAAGAAAGCTGAAGTGGAATTTAAAGTCGGTGAAAAGGTCATGCTAGCTACACGCGGCATTCCGTTAGAGCATGTACAGTACAGCCACTCGACAAGCGAGAGAAGTCAAAGCTCGTACCACGATTCATTGGTCCCTTCAATGTGACGAGAGTAATCAATCAAATATGATGCGGTTGGTCATACCTGCGTCAATGCGGCGCTGAATGATGTCTTCAACGTTGACCGGTTACGGCAGAGTTTAGCCTTTAAAGAACCACATCGCTAGCGGGACGCTCGCGCATATTACTCAAAGAAATCCAATCCAAACCGACCGATGCTACTGATTTTAGCTACCCGCTCATGTATTCCACGCCCAGCGCCGCGTAATTGACCTCGAACGACGTGGAGACCAACAGCGCGATCGCTGGCCAGGTCAAGTACTTGACGATTGTTCATACAACAGAATAGCTCAACGGAAGGAACCACCTGCCCCGAACGAGGCACAGGCTCAGGATATCCTAGACGACTGAGGAGAGCCACGTGTCTTCTCCCTCCAACAAGCAACGACCAAACGAATCGTGGCCCTCCAAGTACGACATGCTGCGGCGATTGGAAAGCAAAACTGAAACAGTCGACAGCACCACGAGCGCCGTTATGTCGCCAAGGGTGAGCAAGGGGCGATCGACCTAGACCGACCATGACGCGGTTGAACCCCACCAAGTGGATGCCGTCATTATCGATAGATGGTGTACGGAGTGAACCATCGCGAGCAACCTCAATACCGATAGCGCAACGCAACATGCAGATGTGCCAAGTGTACTTACACACGCGGATGGGAACTCCACGGGTTGACGAACATCGAGAACGGTTTCGGGACGCTTCCGTTAGGACAGTCACTTGCCTCAGTCCTATTCAATGTGTTACGCTTCACGGTCGCTCTGTAGCAAATTGTAGATCATGCCCGACCCAAATTGTGTTCAGGGGTCACATGCAGTGGCAGGGTCATCGTAGTCTCGATGATTCTTATACTTCAATGCAACATTGCGCATCGTATTTTATGAAACAGAAGAGGAATTCGAATATTGTTATCGAAGATTCTTGACAATATGATAACGATGCGGCTGTTTCCTGCACAATAAGGTATTGATATTGTCACACCCGTAAGATAATGATAAAGTAAATTGCAAAATTATGCAAAACTTGCCATTTTTAGCCAAACAAATCAAGCCAATCAACTTTCAACTTTAATGGCGGCAAAACCTGCACTACCCAATACACTCTGGTAGGATTCAAATTGGTTCATCCATGTTTGCCGCCAAACGTGGCACCACACCGACGCCAAAGTGGGTACTTACAGGAAGGATCTCTTAAATTCTCGAAGCACTTGCTCGAACCGTACTTTTATAATGACACAGATTCCTACGAATGCCAACAAAACACAATCATCCCTACTGTACGGGAGGTCAGTGAAACCCGGTTGGAAGCTGATTGTGTAACCATGTCCATGTCGACACACACAAAATCTAACTCTTGTGTGAGTAAAACCTCGGCGTGGAGCCCGTTCGCGAATAATGCCCGAAAGGCAGAAGAAGATGAGGTCGAAGTAACTGTGCAATGCAAGAGTAATTCATATAGATGTACATTGTTGTGTGAGAGATATGTTGGTTGCTTTAGCAACAACGCCGAGGTTTGCATATGGCCCAAAACATCTTTCGACAACATCATCCTATAATCGAATATCCTGTATAAATTGTAAATGAACTTGTGAAAAATCTTTACCCCCGCGACGTGTGATATATTTACACAGGAATATGATTGGACAATATTGGAGGTAACTCACAAACTACTCAAGAGGTCGTTGCGTTCTGAGGTTTTCAAAGTCTGCAGTATCAGAACTGTACTGAGTCGATCGAGGGGTTTATCGGTGTCGTAAAATACGGGCTTTATGATATGCCGTCACCGTTGTAGCAAAGACTTTCATGCTCTTCTAAATTTCATGGAAAAATCCATTGAAATTCATGACGTCAATATCGTTTCCATGTACGAAAAGAGTTTTACAATTCCAGATTTTGCATTGTTCAATCTCAAGTGTGATCCAACTTGCTGTGAGGCACGTTGGCCAGCGTGGACTGCTGTCGTGGCAAGGAACACATGTCGAGTTGTTGATGAATTCTCAGAACGACTGCCAGGGTAAATAAATAGCGATGGAAACATGAAAATTTTGACTGAGTTTGCGATTTTGGAGCCACATAGCAAAACCAAGATGCTGTCATGCGTTCCATCTGAATTAATCAAGTGAAAATAAAAGGACAGCTATTTTCGACCACAGTGTGTGCAAATTCGATTTTGGAAGTGAATGAAAAGGGATCGCCAGGACATCGAAAAAGTCGAACGTTCATCTATAAGTCCTGATCAGATTGTATGCATAGGGTGTGTTCAGTGCGACGTTTGTGTCAGCGCATTCGGATTTGACTAATCAACGCTGAATTCTTGGTGGATTCTAGTCTATAAATAGTTTTTCCATTATTGGATAAAATCAACGAGTAATATACTTGACTACAACGCCACTATTCCATTCACGGGCATGTCATCGTCTGCCATGCCTATTGCCAAGTGAGCCACGAAAGAAAAGGCCACTGCGACCATTGATAATTGACCACCAAAACAGTGTGGATCAGGCAGCAATCGCGTGTCAATAGCAGCGACCAACGCGTGAATGGCAACAACAGAACAGATCACAGGAATGATGTCCAATTGAAAATATTTTTGGGATTTCTCTGGTATTGCAACTCTATTGCCAATCATATTATGACAAGCTAAAA